TTATACTAGTAATTATGGTGTTTATAACTAAAACAGATGTTGATTATACCAGTAATTATTTTGTCTATTTCTACAACAGATGTTTGATTATACCCAGTAATTATGTTGTCTATAACTACAACAGATGTTGATTATACTAGTAATTATGGTGTTTATAACTAAAACAGATGTTGATTATACCAGTAATTATTTTGTCTATTTCTACAACAGATGTTGATTATACCAGTAATTATTTTGTCTATTTCTACAACAGATTATTTTTCTATAACTGCAACAGATGTACCTCTCAGTGTATGTCATATGTTTGATAACGTCTGACGATAAGAGAAGTATGTCCACAGAATGAACTCTTGTGTCTTCTGTCAACACTCAATGGTGACATTCTTAAGATATTTTGTTACAGATGTAATTTGATGTAAACCTTATCAAAAGAAAAATAATTCACACGATAAACATTCCTTACTCGTGCCTTCACTAGTCCATCATGTTTTGTGCAATATCATCCAGATTTTATAAAATGTTGCAGAAATGAGTGATGATTAACACAATTCTTGTTACCAAGAAATAGATTTGGCATACTTTCTTCTGACTCTGTTAAGGTGTAACAAATGAGAGAGGATTACATGAAGTTTCCTATTCTACCTAAAGTGTACCTATGTCGAATGCATCTATATATGTCTAGGTCTGTAGATGTATCTTGTGATGTACTAAACAGTTTGTAAATCACCATGTAATTTCAGTGTTCATTGGTTCATATCCATATCAGTGTCAGTGATGTTGAAATATAGGTGCACTACACACACAAAGCACAAACACACATACATACACGCACGCACGCACATACATACACACACACACACACACATACATACATACATACATACATACATACATCGCACGCACACACACACACACACATACATACATACATACATACATACATACATACATACATACATGTAAGGGCGTGCGTGCGTACGTACGTACATGTACATACACATACACACACACACACACACACACACACACACACATACACACACACACACATACATACATACATACATACATACATACATACATACATACATACATACATACATACATACATACATACATACATACATACATACATACAAACATACATACATACATACATACATGCGCGCGTATGGGCGTGCGTGCGTGCAATACGTACATAATGTACATACATACAATATAAAACATTATGTTTAAATACGATTGATTGATGCCGCTGCTTAAATGTAAATGTTGAAGCTGCAGTACATTCTCAATACCCATATTCAAAATGTTAGCTCACAAAACACTAAAAATATTTTTTATTTCCCGTTTGCCAACAAACACCTGTTCCTACAGATATGACAGTCAAAGTATGATAACACGAATGCATGCCTGTGTGTGCTATCAGGAAATCATGACATGCACCATAAATTCTTAAATGCCTCAGGTTCATTTTGCCCTGCTTTCGATCTAAGTCTGGTATTCGTCATCTAAACGTAAATAATTTGTTGGAAGGTGTATTTACACGTTACATATGTAACATGTGTTATAACAATGTTCACAACTTCGATCATCATTCAACTGAACATTCGCTTCAAATACTAATAATAGCCGCCATATAGCTGGAATATTGCTGAGTGCGGCGTAAAACTAAACTAAACTCGCTCAAATACTAATCCCAGTTCGCATACTGTCGGTTATGTTGTTGATATGCATGTTCCACAAGAAAATGGATCTAAACCAAAACATATGCTCCATAATGCAGCGGGATAAAGCATGCTACCTTGTAGACCGACAAAACTGTTTAAACCTCACAGAGGCCTGTGCGTGGTTTGTTTGTCCTGAGTCTCATTACACGAATAATAAAATACATATCATTCGTGTTT